TCAATGGACTGGCTTCAACAATTTCCAAATGCCTCTATCACCAACGTCACTCGCAGTGCTTCAGATCACTCATTGCTTTTCCTCAACACATGTGCTCATACTCAGAAACCTCCCCGTAGATTTCACTTTGATAAACGTTGGCTATTGAAGGAAGATATTACTGAAGTAAAGACAACCTGGAGTCAAAATCAATCAGGTACCCCTTTCTTTCAGCTGAAAGTGAAGATTAAGCTCACAAGGCTAGCCCTTATTAGGTGTAGTGCCAAATTCAAAACAGACAATCAGCCAAGAATTGAACACTTGACTTCTAAACTTGATCTTCTGTGGAATGCCAACCTAGCTAGCAACTGGGATGACTGGATTTCAACCAAAGATGAACTCGAACAAGCTCATCACACAGAAGAATTATACTGACAGCAAAAGTAAAATCAAATGGCTGAAGAAGGGTTGACAGCAATTCCAGATTCTTTCATGCTCACACTCTTCAGAGGAGAAGGCAGAATGCAATTACCAGATTGCTCACTCCTCAAAACAGAGAATGCACTTCTCAATAAGAGATTCAAGACCATATCACAAGCTTCTATGCCAAACTCTTGGGGTGGGGATAACATTCTTCATCTGATTCAGCCCTCAATTTCCAAAGACATAAATCAGGATATTCTCAAACCAGTGCAGGAGGAAGAAATTAAAGCTGCATTATTCAGTCTTGATCCAGAAAAATCTCCAGGAGAAGATGGTATGACTGCATTATTTTATCAAAAATTCTGGAATCTTATTAAGACTAATCTTAACTTTGCTGTCAAAAGTGTTTTTGAGACGGGCATTTGCTTAAATATTGGAATCGCACCATTGTGACTCTAATACCTAAGTGTCTCAAACCTGATTATATCTCTCAATTCAGACATATTAGTTTTTGTTTTGTGGTTTATAAAGTAGTTTCCATGTTGTTGGCCCTAAGACTCAAAACTTGCTTGCAAACATGCATCAATGATTTCTAGTCTGCTTTTATAATGGTAGGCAGGTGCTTGACAATGTAATTATTGCACAAGAAGCCTTTCATTTCATTAATAGACACAACTCAGGAAAAAACCATTTTATGGCAATTAAATTGGATCTGGTGAAAGCTTTTGACCGTGTGGAATGGATCTGTGTGAAGAAGATTATGTTACAAATGGACTTTTCTGCTGCTTTTGTTAATCTGATAATGATCTGCATCACTTCTTGTTCCTATTATTTCAAAGTTAATGGTGTTGTTAGTGGATATATTCATCCTTCCAGAGGCATTAGACAAGGGGACCCTCTGTCCCCTTATCTATTTATCATAGTAGCTGAGTTGTTATCTGCTTCTATCTAATCTAGACAGCTATTGGGTATGAATCTTTAAAAGTGGCCCTCATATCTCCCACCTCTTATTTGCGGATGATTCATTATTCTTTTGCAAAGTTGATGTTGGGTAGGGTAATGTTCTTTTAACTCTTTTGGAAAAATACAGATTATTCACTGGTCAAAAAGTCAATCATCAGAAATCAGCTGTCTTTTCCAACAAGAATACTTCTCACCATTTGCAAGACAGAATTTGTTCAACCCTGCAGGGCATCATTTCTCACAGATCAACAAGGTACTTGGGTCTGCCTGTGGGCATTGACAGATCAAAGAAATAAGCTTTTCAATATGTCTTGGACTCTGTGCAATCTAGACTTTAGAATTGAAAAGCTCAGTTGTTATCCCCTGTTGGTAAAGAAGTTCTTATTAAGGCTGTTCTACAAGCTTTGCCTATATTTTCCTTGTCTTGCTTTATTCTTCCCTCTACTTTATGCTCTGAAATATCAAAATAGTGCTCTAACCTTTGGTGGAGTAAGGGTGATGGCCAGGATACTGGTATTCATTGAAATCATGGTCTGCCCTCACACTACATAAATGTGAAGGAGGCCTTGGTTTCTTGGATCTTAAGAATTTCAACAGAGCTCTAATAAGTAAGCAAATATGGAGAATAATCTCTCAGCCTTCTCTCATGGTTAGCAGAATTTTAAAGGACAAATACTTCCCTAGTTTCTCAATCTTTGATGTTGTCAAACCTAGCAATTGCTCATGATTATGGTCCAACTGGCTCACTGTTCTCCTTACTGTTGTCAAAGGATACAAAGTAAAAATCAGGGATGGGATATCCACCACAATTGATGATATCAACTGGGTACCTTCTCTCTATACTCCTAAGCCAAATCTTTTGGAGATTGCTAGAGGCCACATCACTTGGGTCAAAGAGTTGATAAATCCTTATGGTAATGGCTGGAATGCATGGTTGATCACACAATTGTTCAATGCAGCTGACAGCAAGGCCATTCTTGATATGAGCACTCTAAAAACAAGTATGGCTGGTAGGTGCTTTTGGGCTTTTGATAAAAAAAGGGCAATTTTCTGTGGCTAGTACCTATGCATTTCTAACAAAACAGAAGCTGCTTGCTCTGGATCTTCCTTGTAGCAGCTCCACCTTTTCATCAACAAATTTGCATCAATCCTTTAACAGATGCTGGAAACTAAAAGTGATTGGTAAGATAAAACATTTCCTTTGGAAATGTCTTATTGGCACTTTACCAATGAAACTCAACTTGGTGAAGAAAGGCTTAGTCATTGATTCAATATGCCAATATTGTAGTTGTGAAGCTGAAACTATTGAACATATTTCGTTTAACTGCCTTAAAAAGCCTGCAGAGTATGGGACATTTCTCCAGTGCAATGGGATGGATTGAAATCTTATACTTCATCTTTCAGGTGCTGGTGGTCTAACTTGTGTTCTCATAATAAATCTGCTATAGCTGAGTCCAGGATCCAATTGACCACCTATATACTGTGGTGACTTTGGAAAACGTGCAATCTCTGGATTTTTCGAAACTCTGCCTTATCAGCTCCACAAATTGTCAAGACAGCTCACAGGCAATGGTTGGAGTTCACTCAGCTTATCTAGATCTTCTCTGAATTTGGGTTTTATCTTTGTTGTAGCTTTTATTGTTGCTGGACTCCTTTGTTGTTTTTTAGTCTGTTTTGACTCTCTCTTCGAGCTCTCTAGGCTTAGGCAGTGGAGAACTGGTTAGTTTATGGTTTTAGTTTTTTTGAGCTAGTTTGTGTTGAGGTTCTAGGCCGGCGCCGTGCATGTCCTCTCAATTCTTTAGTTTCGGGTTTTCAGTTGTATCTTGTACTCTATTTCTTTGTGAGTTATATAATGCTTCTATCGTTTCGGAAAAAAATATCTCTAGAGTGAATAATTTGATATGAGGAACAACTGAACTCAATCACTTGCTGCCGTTACTCTTCAGTTTTCTGTTGAGGTCTATCCTGTAGAGGTACTCAAACTGGTTTTTTACTACCCAAGGTTTCGATACATTTCGCAATCGAGTAATCTATATCGGTGCGTCACCAGACTTGCTCTGGAATAGGTTACCCAGGGGCATCGAGACATAGAGTACAAGACACGCATGGAGCCGAAGCCGCAACCAAAAATGTCGCTGCGTGCGGACGAGAGCAGTGATGCGAAAGTGGGTTTCGGACCCCTGCGAGTCGAAGGCCCTGAGTGCGCGATTATTCACAAGCAAATAGACAAATTCACGATCCCTCATCAAGCAGGCGGGTCGCGTGCGCTGCCAGAATGTGCGTGTCGGTTCGCCTGGCGTCGAGCAGTTCGCGAGGATCTCGCGGGTGCACGGCTCCTGGTGTCTGCAGGTCTGCGTCGCCGGGCTCAAGGATGTTGCGGGTCGCAGGGAGCAGTAGGCGTTGGGTCTCGGCGTCACGGATCGTCTTCTGGGAGCAGCGAGGCGGCGTCGGGAGCTACGAAGGAGCAGGTCGTGCTGGTTTGAGTAATAGACGAACTTTAATTTTCTGTTTGGGATTCCTATTCACCTGCAATACCATCTCAACCTATCAATATATGTTTGATAATTTATTTTTTCCATGATGCTCATTATAATCTACTACGGTAAAAGCTAGAATTACAAACTTTTGTACAAAATATTTTAATTTCGAGCAGTGCGAAAAGCCTTTTTATAATTATTTATTTTTTCTTTCCTTTTCTAATTGTGGAAAATTCAAAATGACAAAGAGCTCTCGAGTGAGACCAAATTCCAAAAGATTCTTTTGAAGGGTCCCAAAAACTAGTTGAATAATAAAACCAGAAAAAGCCGACACCCCACACTCCGCGGTGGCAGCCACCGTAATTTCACTTCAACTCCAGACCCATTTTCTCGCCGCTACTCTCATTTAGATTCACAATAATCACGGCGCATTTTAGCCCACACCCCTAACTCGACCTCTTCTGCCAAAAAGCAGAGAGTATCATTCCTACTTAAAAACCTCATTCATTCCCACCCCAGCAACAAGAAAAATAAAAACAGAGAAGGAAGAAAAAAACAAAACAGATAACAGAGAGCCCAGAAAACCAAGCGCACTCAGAGTCATTCTTCAGCCTTAAAACGACATAAAGCTCCGATCTTTTTCTTGTTCCCTTTTCTTCTTTACTCGAAAAACTAACCAATATTTGTTCCAAGAATTTTTTTCCTCTTTTATCTTCCACTGTATTTGAGATGGAGAAAGTGTTTGTTGCTGTTAACTGCGAGCTCAAAGCTTGTGGGATAGTGTAGGGACTGTCCCCAATTTCTTCTCTTTAGCTGAGAAATTATTCTCTCTTCATTTTTCGTTCTCTCTATTTTTTTCTTTATCCTTGCGAGCGAGGAATGGATTGCAAGAACATATTGGTTGCAGGGAGTTTAGATCCAGAGAGGAAAAGGAGTGGTGGTTTGAGAACGAAACAAGCTGGACGTGGGTCTTGCCGAGGAAGTTAGGCTAGAACTGAAGTTAACCCCTTTGGGATGAATAATAATAAATCTTGATATTCCTCTGTTTGTTGTCAGGCCCCCGAAGTGAATCTTTATCTTTTGGGCGTAGTTTTTCGTCTTTTAGGTACAAAACCTGGAATATTCATATTTTGTTGTACGCCCTCGAAATAATTTGCCATGGGTTACTTGCTGAAAGAGGTTTTGAAAACTCTCTGTGGAGTCAACCAGTGGTCTTATGCTGTGTTCTGGAAGATGGGCTGCCAAAATCCTAAGTGAGTAGATGTTGGCCATTGTATTGCTTTGTTTTTATACTTCTTTGTCATTTGTTGTTAAGTGTTGTTAGTGTTACTATGTTGCTATGAAGTGTGTGGTGGCAGTTCTTGGTGTGCTTTCTGTTAAATTCTGGACTTTTAGAATTCAGACAAAATGTTACACCTGTTCATGATTTCTTTTTTGTCTAGTTGCTTTTGGATGATGATGTCTGTGGTCTCTCTCTCTCTCCATGAATTTTGTGGTGACCACCGACTAAGTTTACTTGTTGCATTCCTTTCTGTTTACTCATTTATCTTTGATCTCGATATTCTTTCTCGTACTTTGGATTTTTGTTGTTGGTGCATTCAATTTTTCGTGGAGAATCTCAGTGGACGAGTGAAATAGATCCGTCTTACTCTGACTGAGAAGAGCTTTTCTGCTGTTATGATTTCCCTGCACATGTGGTTGTTCATATCTGGTGTTGTCCTTTGTCTTACCTTCTTGTCGGCAGTAACTAACTTCTCCGGATTTTTCTGGCCCCTTTCTTGATCTGTTTCACCTTAAGTTCTGCTTGTATGATTATGTTACACTAGTGTGTGTGTGTGTGTGTGTGCACGCGCACGCGTTTCTAACATATTTGAACTAAATTTATCTTTTGCAGTCTGTTAATCTGGGAAGAATGTTATTATGAAGCGGCATCATCTTTTGACAGCCTTACGGGATTTTCTGGAAAAGAGAATCTAGATATCAATTTTCAGGATTACAATAATTCTTCTGTTCAGTCTGAAAGCCTTAATTTGCAGGCTGCTCTTCCCGCGAGGGGAAAGGTGCACATTCTTGTGAACAAGATGCTGGCTGATGGTAATGTGAAAGTTGTTGGAGAAGGGTAAGCAAGTTAAAGATTATATTGGCTTTCTATTTACCTTGGGGGGCTTGTAGTAAAGAAAAATAATTTCATCCCCCTCTATTTTTTTTCTGCAGATTGGTTGGAAGGGTTGCTTTTACTGGAAACTATCAATGGATATTGTCTGAGAATTATTGCGGCGAACCCCAGTCACTAGAGGTATGTCTAGGGGCTTTCTTTTTCACTATTTTAGTTATTTAGAAAAAAGGTAATTACTGCAGTTTTTGGGATTTTTGAGCTTTAAATAATTATTTTCACCTATATCATTGGCCGTCCAAAATTATTTCAGGTTAAGTTTAATCCTTTTATCTTATATAAAAATAAATTGCCAAATTTCGTCTTGGCATGAATGATGAATATCGTTGTTAGGTTCAAATGTTTAATTGATAATTTAAAACAGAATGAATATGATTTTCCATCAATATGTAGCCACAACATGAATTAAGCTTTTAAGTTTGGTTGATGTTCCAGGTTCTGAAAGAGGCCCTTCAACAATTTTCAGCTGGCATGCAGGTATAACGGAGAATCTCTATTTCTGTTTCTAATGTCCTTCGATTTGGTTGTTTTATATACTGGTTTTTTCTCCTTTTCCCCTTTGTCATGATCAGACGGTCACCATTGTTCCTGTTCTTCCTCATGGGGTAGTCCAATTTGGTTCACATGTGGCTGTAAGTTGTTTTCATTAACTGATTCCTCTAGAACTATTTCTTTAATACGCGAAGTTGGTGATGCTATAAAATATTGCAATATCTCAGATCCCAGAGAATATTGGATTTGTTAAAGACGTGGCGTCATTAATACTCGAATTGGGAAATATACCGGGCGTATTGCAATCTGAAAACCATGAAGCAAAAGAACTCATGCATGGGCTTTTGCCTCTCGGATCGAATCTTATCAGTATTTCTTCTTACTCAGCCGACAGTTTTAGGTCCCCCGAATACTTGGCTCAAACCTCCGGGTTTGGCAATGATCTAACATCTTTTCAAGCCTCAAACTTAGTAGGCTCGTCCCATCTCGAAACTTACGAAACCAAAATCACTGCCCCACATTTAACCTCACCAAACCAGTTCACAAATGGAGTTTCTAATAATTTCAATGCATGGACAAATCTACAATCTGCTTCTATGAACACTCGTGTGCCCAAAAAGGGCTTAGCCACAACGGGTCTTAAAGATCCAAAAATTTCTGGACTGTTGAATTTCCATGATGCCGTTGACCAGTGTGAGGGTGGCTTGTTCGATGCCTTAGGTACTGATTTTAAGGAAAAGATGCTAAATAGCCATACAGTAAATGAGCCTGAAAAGATGAGCCTTCCAGATTTCTGTCCGCCTGGCCCTGTAAAATTGGAGAGTGGGATTTTGTCCTTCAAAGGTGCCGACCATCTTCAAGAGGCCATGGTCTCTAAAGGCAAATCAAACAGGAGCTTAGATGAAAGTGTTTCTTGCATGTCAAGTCTGACCAATATTAGTGACTCCTATGCTTCAAAGGCTTTGTTCCCCCAAGGGCTTTTTGGGAACTTTGATCACGAGAAGGGGGAATTGTTTGGCACTTCAAATTATAAGGGAAAAGAGGTTTCAAGTACATATTCACAGGGGAGTTGTGTTTATGATCCATGGGCTGCAAAGGGGTTCGGTTTGAAACAGATTGAGAGTTTGGCCAGCGGACATTCTACTAAACCAAATGTGAGCAGCAAACCCAGTCGTAAGAGGTCTAAACCGGGCGAGAACCCGAGGCCAAGGCCAAGAGATCGCCAGATGATCCAAGATCGGGTGAAGGAATTGAGAGAAATTGTTCCCAATGGTGCAAAGGTGACTCACCTATTTTTGCAAGTTTATTGATTTATTGATGAGATAATTTGCAATCTTTCTTATGCCTTTCTTGTTTATTCTTTTTTTTTTTTTTTTTCTTTTTTTTTTTTTTTTTTTTTTTTTTTTTTCGTGTCTTGTTTATTCTTAACAGTGTAGCATTGATTGCCTTCTGCAACGTACCATCAAGCATATGCTTTTCCTGCAAGGTGTCACCAAACATGCAGACAAGCTGAAGCAAACTACAGAATCAAAGGTGTGAAAACAGACGGGTTAAATACAATAACCTTGAGCTCAATTTTAATTGCGACTAAAATGTAAAAATGAAAGGAAACGATAAGAAGTGAAATGTTATTTCAAAATTTGAAAGATCATATTGTCATTTACTTTAGGGGGTGTTTTTGAAAACCTTATGCAAATATTTTTATTTTGCATGACCACTGGATTTTTTATGAATTAGGCTAACCCCATAGTTATTATAGATTTTAAGTCTATTTTCTCGAAAAAAATGAAAATAATCTAAAAATTTCCTGGTTGGTTTTGAGTTTCAGATTATCAGCAAAGATGGCGGTTCGCATTTGAAAGATAATACTGGAGGAGTTACGTGGGCCTATGAAGTGGGTTCACAATCAATGATTTGCCCAATCATAGTTGAGGATATAAGTCAACAACCCCATCAAATGCTTGTCGAGGTAATTTTTTAGTCCTTTCCAAAATTGCAGTGAATTACCTGTTATTTGTGTTTTATTTGCAAATGACTGAATTGTTGTTTCCTTTTACACGATTTTCCATGTATGGCAGATGGTTTGTGAAGAAAGGGATTCGTTTTTGGAAATAGCCGGTATAATCAGGGGACTTGGGTTATCCATTTTGAAGGGGATCATCGAAAATCGGGATGGCAAGGTCTGGGCACACTTCACTGTGGAGGTAATATTTTGTTTATGAGAAATGAGCTTTATAAACTGTTTATGATAAGATCTGGAAATAAACTGCTGACGGAATTGTGCACTTTGGTTAAACAGGCTAACCGCAATGTGACAAGGATAGAAATCTTGCTCTCGCTTGTTCGTCTCTTGGACAAAAATGTGAAACATGGTTTTTCCAAGTCCAATGTCCAAACTGAAAATGTGATGGTCCAAGATTGTCAGCAAGCAGCCTCCGTCATATGTTAAAGAAGCCGAGCAACACGAGATGACCGCTCACTAGGATTACATGTTTGTCATGATTGCTTTACAACTTAAGACTCCCGTTAATTCGTCTCAAGGGCAGGAACGTTACATTAATTGTAGTTGGCCGTGTTTGCGTGTCGTTGTCTGGTCGTGACTTGTTATTGGATATTTATAGGGCTGCTATTCCTATTCCTCTCCCTCTCTCTCTCTCTCTTAAGTGTCAGACAGATTGTGTTAATGTGCTTTGTGTTTTGCTGCTGTGACTGTGAGTAGAATTATGTGAGGTACTCGTGTCTTTCCAGGGTGCCTAGATGGATGAAAGGGGGTAGAAAAGGAAATGTAGCAGCTTCTTGATCTACTGATGTATATTAGTTTGAGGGATATAATGAATTAATCTATAATGTGGATTTTATCTAAGATGCTATGGAGATTTGTGTAGGACAACTTATAAATTATGGCTATGCCGTTTATCTAAGATGTGGATTTTATCTAATGTGGATTTTATCTAAAGATGCGATGGATCTTTTGCATTGACTATGTCGGATTCTTGTATTTCATACTTGTTTTTGTCTGTTATTTAGGTGGTTTATTTAGGGCACTTCAGGTGTTCCTCCTTCCGAGTGGAAGCTTGTATTTTGGTGACGATTTATGTATATTTTGTTGAGCAGTAATATCTGCCGTTTCAAAAAAATCGAAAAAAAAAAAAGAATTTGCACAAAAAATATCAAATTAATGTTGATGCTAGCAAATAACAAAATCTTTGTGGACAAAAGAATATATATATCCTGAGAAGTGTATTCATCATATTCTACCATAATAAGAATTAATGTTATATATTTTAGGCTACTACATAAAAAGTTATAATTTAATAGTTGTTGATCTTAAACGTGATGTGGTGCGTAAAAAAAGTAAAATTGTGACATATTACGCTGGAATAGGGTTTATTTATTTTAAAAAAAAAAATAAGTAGACAAAAA